GAGTGAGTGAGTGAGTGTGTGTGTGTGTGTGTGTGAGTGTGTGCGTGAGTGAGTGAGTGAGTGTGAGTGAGTGAGTGAGTGTGTGTGTGTGTGTGTGTGAGTGTGTGCGTGAGTGAGTGAGTGAGTGTGAGTGAGTGAGTGAGTGTGTGTGTGTGTGTGTGTGTGAGTGAGTGAGTGAGTGATATCTTAGAAGATATTAAATAAAAAGTTACAATCTTTAAAAATAAATTAAAATACCAACATGAATGAAAAATAATAGTAATAATGAAATTAAGTATATATATATATATATACATGGGCGACATTAGGGGAGGGCTAATTTGTTAGTCATGGAATCCCTGATGTCGGCCCGCTTAGCCAAGCGCTAAATACCCTTAACGTGTTTTTGCAGCGTTGAGCAATGTAACCAATCACAGACATATCTGTTGGTTTCTTGAACGCAATGGCCAATCAGAAACGTTTTTTTTTCAGAATTCACTCACCGCTGAAAGCGCCGCAGTTTTGCACGCTCGTGAATCATCTCATGACTGAGTGCAGACGCAATGTAAATAAGAGATTCATTGTGCAGTTTAGAGAGCTTCATTGATTATAACGGAACTTTGTAAGATCGCGATGCAATGGACGGAACATAAAATATGTTGATTTAATTCTGGAACCGGTCCTGGCCAAACCTCCACAGACAGCGCGTCCCGAGCGAGATCTAATTCATGGACCAAAAGTGTATGTAAACTTTATTGAGATCGGGGCATATCAACCAGTAATTTCATTTCATTTCCAGTAACGGACGGTAGAAAGTTCAGCAATGAATGGTGTGCGATTTATGACAGAATATAGTCCCACAACTGATCAAGTCAAATGTCGCCCATGTATATATATATAAACAAAATTAAGAAGTAATTATATAATTTATATAATATATTTAAGTGTGTGTGTATATATATATATATATATATATATCAATAATATATATATGAAAATATATATGAATATATGAAATATATATGAATACTATATCAATGAAAATAAAAAAAAAAATTTTTTTTTTCATTGATATAGTATTATACAGTTTTTCTTAGTATTTTTTTTTTATATATTTTTTTTTTCAGTTGTCACTTTCATTTTAGTTAAGGTTTTAGTAGTTGTATTGTGTGTTTTTATTAGTTTTTGTTTTTAAAATATGTCTATATATTTTTTATTCATTTTTATTTATTAGTTTTAGTTTAAGTTTTATCTATATTTTATTTCAGATAATGTTTATTTTATTTCAAGAAATTAAAATGTTTTTTTATTATTTTAGTTAACTGTAATAACCCTGATATATAGAAATACATGCCCATACATACAGTGAGTAAATAACATTGAAATAGTATTATACAGTTTTTCTTAGTATTTTTTTTTTATATATTTTTTTTTTCAGTTGTCACTTTCATTTTAGTTAAGGTTTTAGTAGTTGTATTGTGTGTTTTTATTAGTTTTTGTTTTTAAAATATGTCTATATATTTTTTATTCATTTTTATTTATTAGTTTTAGTTTAAGTTTTATCTATATTTTATTTCAGATAATGTTTATTTTATTTCAAGAAATTAAAATGTTTTTTTATTATTTTAGTTAACTGTAATAACCCTGATATATAGAAATACATGCCCATACATACAGTGAGTAAATAATGATTAAAAAATAAATAATTATAATTCGGGAAAATGCAGCTATATACCACAATCAGTTCTTCATTACTGTCGTGTGTGTGTGTGGTCTTCAGAGTGGATCAGTGTGGATAAGGACGAGACAGGTGGACCCAAAGGCAGGACTCTTCCTCCTCGAGCCGGACACGACTATGTCAAGTGAGTCCAGATTCATGATTCGTCTGACACTCGTCATCGTTTCCCAGCAGTGTCAGTGACGAGGAGGAGGTTCATTCTGATGCGTTTGTTCTTTCAGACCGTCCACCAGCAGGAAGTTGACACAAGTTATTTCAAGTAATTTTTAATTTAAAATTTTTGGCAAAATATGTCTGTACATTTTTTATTAATTTCAGATTAACATTTAGTTATCGTAGTACTTCAAGTTAACCAAAAATAAGAAATTTTGCCTTGGTAACTAGTTGAAATAAAGAAAGTTTACGTTTTATTTTATTATAATTGTATTAAATTATAAAATAATTTACTATTATAATTATTATATATATTTATTATTATAATTTTATTTAATCTCAGTGAACACTTAAGCAATGTATACGTTTTAGAATGTGTTTTTTATTGTTTAGTTTTAGCTCTAGTTAACAATAATAACTTTTGCTTTGACATTCAGCTCACCAGTAAATTCATGTGAAATTTCGTTCTGTCAGAGGCAAACAGGATCCGTTCGAGGGCGACGCCACGACGTGCAAAAACAGCTTTAATAACCCCGCCTACTACATTCTAGAAGGCGTTCCCAACCAATCCGCTGCTCTGGCCTCTGACATGCTCCCAAGCTCCGCCCTCCCTCCGCTAGCCAATAAAACAGCTCCTCCTGCAGGCGGCGTAGGGAAAAACAAGCCGCCCAGCGGGAGTTCAGTGCCGGGCCGCCGGCAGACGTCTGGACGCCCGGTTCGGCCCATCAGCGAGGAAGGGTCATCAGAGGACGACGGGAACATCGGGCCTCACGTCGGGTCGCTGAATCGCCCCCCGCCTGACTTCCCTCCTCCTCCGCTGCCCAAAGGAGCTCTGGAGATGCCGGAGAACTCGTTCGGAAAACCGCGGATGTTTCCGGACCTCGCCAACGTCAAGATCCCGCCCACGTCTGTAGTTCCGTCCAAACCGCTGTCGTCGCCCAGCTTCGCACCACCCTCTGGAGGAGGCGTGGCCTTCTGTCTGGAGGCACCGCCCATTAACCCGAGCCCTTTCCGTCGTGGGGGCGGGGCCTCGGGACTGGACGACCAATCGTGTTCGGTGCTGCAGATGGCCAAGACACTGAGTGAAGTGGAGTATCCGTCGGGGAGAGGCGTCATGAAGACAAACGCTCCTCACATCAGAGGCCTGACCTTCCCTCCGCGCTCCATACAGGAGGAGAGCATCGCAGAAGACATGCCCGAGGAGGTGACACAACAATACACACGCACTGTGTTCATTTACACGCGAGCAGCTCATGATCCGGGGTTTTCAGTGTGTCGGAGCGGCTTGTGTCTTGGAATCTTTTTTTTATTGATTTAATTTTTATAATTCTTAAATTTAGTAAGTAAAAATTAATTAATAAACATAAATGTATTTTATATTTATTAATTTTATCATTTTATAATATTGAGATGACGATAATAATAGTAATAACAATAATAAATAATAATTATTTGTTATTTTGTCAATAGCAATAATAATAATTTTGTTATTAAGTATTATTAAGTTATTAAGAAAATAACAGTTATTAATAATAATATTATTAATACAAAATAATATTTATTACATTGTTAATAATAGCAATAATTAATAATACTTATTATATTGTATATTTATTAATTTTATAATTTAATTAAAAATATTTAAATGTTGCTAATAATAATACATAATATTTTTATTTTGTTAATTATAATAAGAAGAATTTGTTATTAACTATTATGACGAATAACAATTAATAATAATATTATTTTATATTAAGGAATATTAATAATACTAATCAGTATATTATATTTTTAATAATAATAACAACAATTAAAAATCATATTTATTATTACTGTTATATTTTATAATTATTCATTTCTAATGTAATTTAAATTATGATGATAATATTTTAATATATTGTTAATAATATTTTTAATAATGATATCAATAATTAATAATGAAATTATTATTATTAATGGATATTATTTGAGATTAACAAATTATTAATAGTTATTATTAAATATTTTTTAATTACATTAGAAATGAATGATTCCAAAATATAACAATAATTAATTTTCTTGTCAGCTGTAATAATATTGATCTAAAATAATTTGTATTAATAAAATGTTAAACGTTATATAAGTTATAATAAATATGTGACCCTGGAGCACAAAAGCAGTCTTAAGTCGCTGGGGTATATTTGTAGCAATAGCCAAAAATACATTGTATGGGTCAAAATGATCCATTTTTCTTTTATGCCAAAAATCATTAGGATATTAAGTAAAGAAGATGTTCCATGAAGATATTTTGTAAATTTCCTACCGTAAATATATAAAAACTTAATTTGTCCTATCCTAACAAACCATACATCAATGGAAAGCTTATTTATTCAGCTTTCAGATGATGTATAAATCTGAAAAATTGACCCTTATGACTGGTTTTGTGCTCCAGGGTCACATATGATAACAGTAATGAATAATTTATTACGATGATTGTTGTTGTTATCATGGTATACTGTATGCTGCTGCTGCAATGCAGGGCCTGTGGCATGACGAGAGCAGCAGCAGCAGTCTGTCGGTGGAGTGCAACGTCGGCGAGTGGCTTCAGAAGCTCGGTCTGCAGCGTTACGAGGAGGGACTGCTGCACAATGGCTGGGATGACCTGGAGTTCCTCAGGTACAACACACACCTGTCTGTCTGCGGCACAGTCACGCAGGGGTTAAACACACACCTGTCGGTCTGCGGCACAGTCACGCAGGGGTTAAACACACACCTGTCGGTTTATGACACAGTCACGCAGGGGTTAAACACACACCTGTCGGTCTGCGGCGCAGTCACGCAGGGGTTAAACACACACCTGTCGGTTTATGATAATTTTTTGGTGCTTTTCCATTTTGCGCCTTTTAAATATTTTTCTTTTATTAAACTATAAAATTTAAATCATATACCATACATTACTTTGCTAATAATACTAACCCTATTGTATAGTAAATTTTTTTTTATTTTTTTTATGGGACAACAGTAAATGTTTTCAAACATTAAACCATAGAACTTTATTTAAATTTGAGCAAATTATGAAAATTTAATCATATCATATATTACTACTGTATAACCCTACTGTACTGTAAAATAAAAAAGTATTTTAATAATAATGATTTTATTTTACTGAACACTAGGGTAAGTGTTATTACTAAAGTAATACATTTCTTTATTTATCTAGTTTTTATAATTTAATAAAACTATTAAAAAGTGCAAAATGTAAAAGCACCATAAAAGTATCATAGCCTGTGACAAATGTAGCAAGTCTTGTGGGTTCGCAACATTTTTATTAGTTAAAATAAAATTATTCGTTTATTAGTATTGTATTTTTAGCATTGTTCTGTAAAATAATAATAATGATTATTATTATTTTAAATACTTTTTTATTTTACAGTACAGTAGTTAGTGTTATTACTATAGTAGTAAAGTTCTTTATTGATTTAATTTTTATAATGTAATAAAATAAAAATATTTAAAATAAACTGCAAATGCACCGTAAAAGTACCATAAACTTTGTCAAATGTAGTAAATCATGTAGATATGCGATTTTTAAAAATAGTTATTTTTCCTATTTTTAGCAGGTTTCCTATTACACATGATACTTCTTATGTTTTCTCAGCGCTGCTCAGAAATATCAATCATAGTCGATTGTGATTAGAATGTCCATAAATGTATTTTGAGTACAAGCTTCTCATCCAATCACGTCTCTTTCCTGCAGTGACATCACAGAGGAGGATCTGGAGGAGGCGGGCATTCATGACCCCGCCCACAAGAAAATACTATTGGCCAGCTTAAAGCAACAGCAGCAGCAGAAATGAGCCGATCCAGACCGGACTGAACCGAGAGAAACTTTGCACTGGTAGAGAAAGTGGCTTTAATTTAATCTGATGTAATAAAGCTGGTTGTTTTAGTTCGTAATATTATTTAAACAAGTCAGAAAGGACGTTTCACTAAGCCCCGCCCCCAACTTCTGGAGGAAGTGAGTCATCGGAACATTCCTCACCTTTGGTGACTGAAGTGTTAATTATGAACAGTTTGTTTTTCTTGCATGTTTTATGACTTTAAAGGAAAGGGAAAAGCCCAAATCAGCAGCTCACCTTGTAGGAGATCAGTCAGTTTGTCAGAAATCTTCATCAGGTTTGTAACAGCAGGTGGCGCTGGATGATCAGGCTTCGTCTGAGTCCAGCAGAAACAGATGTGAATCTTTGTTTGTTCGTTCAAATGCAGTCTGATTCGTTCATTCAAGATGTGATGAGTTCAGATCCTGCTTCAGATTCAGTGTTTGTGTCTCAGTCTCAAAGAGCTTTTCTTTCAGATGAGCTTCAGTTTGGGAAGCTGGAGTTTTACCTCGTTCTGTAATGCATCACACCGCTGTAGCCTTTAGCAGGAAAACTGTTCGTTTTATTTAACAGAGTCTTTAATATTATTATCATTGGAGTGTTTCTCCTAAAATGCATGTATATGTTCTTGCATATTTGTTTTGTGTATTAAGTTTTAACTTTATATGTTTCTCGCCCGTCATTCATAATCATAATCCTTTGAATATTATTAACTGTTTAACTCTTGTGTTGTTATAAGTTAATATTGTGTTTGAGTTTCTGTCCTTTTAATGTTTTTTTTGTTTTTTTTCAATTTAATTAAAATTAAAATCTAGTGTGCCTTCATGTTCAGTAAAGAAAAGTGTGTCTCATTTGAACATTTTCTGGGATGATATGTATACACACACACAAAATAGATATATAAATATTATGTATTCATGTATAGTATGTAGTAATATTAATATATATTTAGTAATATATGTCTATCTGTGTTTCTGAAGATACTGCAGGATTTGTTTCTCTTCATTAATGTCACTTTTCATTATCAAAGTCTGTTTGTTGATCAAAAAGCTGGATTTGAAAATAGTGTTTTAATGCTTAATATTTGCAATGACTAAATTCATTTTAAAAAAGAAGATGAAGGCCTTTAAGACAAGTTGTAGGTTATTCTAAATTGAAGAAGTTATAGGATGTTTAAACACGTTCTTTAAGTTTTGTACATAGCATTTCTAACCCAACATTTTAAACTTCACAATAAAGGAGTTTTTTCTTGTTCTAATCAAAATCAAAATGCAAGGAATTCCTGGAATATTCTGAGCTTTCATTGAGCTCCTGCCAAGGTTATTATAGTTCTCTAAAACTAAAAAGAAATTTAAAATAACTGAACTGAAACAATGAAAATTAGAAATGTTTTGTTATATTTTAGTTTAAATTCATGTACTTAAAATAACTAAAACTGAAATAAAAAACTATATAGATATTAAAATAAGAACTTAAAAATGACAAAAACTAAATAAAATGACAAACTTTAAATAAAATTAACATGGAATCAAAAAACATTAACAAAAATGATACTAGCATCTTAGTGATACTAGAACAACAGATGGATGTGATGCGTCTGATGGGAGATGTGACTGGAGAAGTCTTTATTTTCACTCTTTATTTTGTCATTTTTATGGATTATATACAGCAGATCATTCATGAAACACATGGCGTGCACTGGAGCCAGGAAACATTAAAAAAAAAAGAGAAACTACATATATTAATATTTACAAAATATTTTCAAAAAAATCCTAGCTTAAAAAAAATCATCCCAACTTTTTTTTTCTTTTTTCCTTCAATAAATTAACTACAAGTGGCTTAACTATGCTTGTTTCTGGGGTCACACACACACACACACACACAATCCACACACACATACACTATACATACACACACACACACACACACACACACACACACACACACACACTCAC